TGCTTACCTCTTGCCTTCTACTGAAACTTAAACCTTATGTCAGGATCCCAAAGACGGACTTGGGGTTCACTGGGCCTCTTCCCAATGTGGTTACATTGAATGAATCTCTCTGATTTTCATTATTGCCTTTCTCTTTAACTGGACTACCAAGGGTGGGTAGCCTAGGTTTTTAGGGATGCCAGGGCCCAGGCCCTGACCCTAACAACTCCAGTAACAGCCACATCTATGAAACATGGTTTCCAGGGTTCTCTTAAGCCCTGGCATTTCATTCATTTGAGCATGTATAGAGTACCTATACAGCACTATGTACCATGCACTAACTTGAAGCCCTGGGAAATAGAACCCTGATAGATTGGAAAGCAATATTTGAGCTTCATGCCTTGTGGTGACACGCTAAACCTTTAATGACCATATCGTCTCTCCTCTTATCAAACCTCATTCTCCTTAGTTTAGATTCCACCAGTGGGAGGGGTACATGGCTGACACCACCTTTGAAGGACTGCCTCTCCCAAAGGGACTTGACTAAGGAGAAATGAAGATATTTTTTCTGAAGAAATCAGGTCCTATGGCCACATTTTAGGAATGAAGCTTACAAGGGTATTTAGGAGCTGTCAGGATCTTCTCTCTGTCCCTTCCCTTCCCTTGCTATGTTGCCTGGAAAATTCCTACTCAAATCATAAAGCAGTTCTTCCCTGTTATACTTAATATATCCACCCAAAGGCCATGGGGCCTCTCGTCTTTCCTCTGCACTCCCAGAAAGCCTTATACAGCAATCTCCTTTTGTCTACAGTTTCTGGTTCCACAGTTCAGTTATCCCTAAGTTAGCTGAGCTCCAAACATACTACTTGAAAACAACCAGACAATTTACAATTCTAAATTGTGGGACATTCTGAGTACTGAGATAACATATTCTGTTCCATCCTGTTCATGAAGTGAGAATTATTCCCATGTTCATTGTGTCCGTGCTGTATATGTTACCTGCCCATTAGTTACTGAGCAGCCTTCTTAGCAGACTGGCTGTGGCTGTGCTTATATTATGCAGTGCCCACGTTCAAATAATCTTTGTTTTACTTAATAGAGTCCTTAAAGTGTTAAAGTGATGGTTCTGGCAAGCTGGACATGCCAAGGAGAAGCTCTAAAGTGTTCCTTTAAGTGAAGGGGGGGGCATCCTTGGCAGTTAAGGAAAGAAGGAAAAGGGTAAGAATAATACAATAAGGCATTCTCAAAGAGACTGCAATCATGTAACTTTTGTAACAGTGTATTGCTATAATTGCTCTATTTCACTATTAGTTTTATTAATCTTTTAGCTTGCCTAATTTCTAAATTGAACTTTATCATAGTTGTGCAATTACCTATGGGGGAAAAAAACATTATAAAGATGGGCACAAGGGCACATACCAACGACCCTAGAACTCTGAAGGCTGAAGCAGCAGGATCACAAGTTCTAGGGCAGCCTGGGCTTATCTCCAAATGTGTGTGTGTGTGTGTGTGTGTGTGTGTGTGTGTATGCATGTGTATGTATGCAATCATACACACATAAATCATATAAACAACTAGGTACTAACCATAGTTGCAGGCTTCCACTGAGGGATGTAGCCTCAACAATAATGGACTACTGTACCTTTCTCTGTTGTTTACAGTGACCCATTATACCTTTTGTTTGATCTGTCAGCCACATGAGTTTCCTTTTTTCCCTGTAGCCACAGCTTTTGCTCAAGGGCTCAACATAGAGCAAGTGGCAGATGATGTCTAATTGCATGACCAGGGCCCCCCTCAGGCAGAGGTTCCCAGGGAGCTAGTTTCTAGGTCTTCTTGTGGCATCCCTCAGAACAACAAATAAAATAAACACACATGTCCACCATGCCTTTGACTTTTTAATAGAATGAGGAGACCTTGGTGTGACAAGTTATGAACCTCTAACTCTTGCCCTTCAATCCTTAAGTGTTCTTCAGCTGTTCAACCTGGGGATGGAAGGTCGAAATCAATTTAATAGATCGGGATCAACTCTTTTTTAGCTGAAATAGAACAGATTAAAACAGACTAAAGATTGAAAATAGTTTTGTTAAAAATCTAAGAGCCAGAGAGACAGGATACCTGCTACTAGATAATGCATTCTAGGTGGGATAGGAAACTGCACAATGAAATCTCCACAGCATGGTAGTCTAACAAGATCTGTATAATGACAAAACCAGCTGATAGGTTAAGGTGGATGGAGGAAATATCACTAGGTCCCACCTCAAGATGAACTACAGGCAATCAATGGATGCTGAGGGAGGGAGAATCAGGGAGGGACTAGCTCCCAGAAAGACCACTTAATCCCAAGTGGGCAGCTCTAATACAGGTACATACTATCACCACCAAATGGATTCAGTATATTATATATGTGTGATGGGGGGTGGATGTGTGTGCACGTGTGCTCTTTTCCCTCTACCTGCTGAACAGTCACACTCTAGAGCTGGAAGAATCTCTTTCCTGTGTAAGCTTGAGGTATGGGAGAAAAGGGAGGGCAAAAGAGCGGTTTTGACCAAGGAGAAAACTTCTGACACCTACTCTTTCTTTGCATCTACGGGATTTATCAAGTCATTTTGGATTCTGAGAACCTGACAAGTGTCTCAGTAGAAGTGTGCCCTCTGACACCTCCCTAGAGAGTCCAGACCTCTTCCCTGCTCCTGAGGCATGCCTCCAGGACTCTGTGCTTCAGGCCTGGCCCAGGACTTAGAGATTCTGTTCAAGGAAGATGCTAGAAAAGGATCCACCACAGGGCAGCCAGTAGCTCCCAGTTCACGTCCACCTGACTGCAGGAGGCCTGGAGGAGGGTCTCTGGAAGCTCAGACAGCCTCATCCAAACTAGCTTGGGCCACTGGGCAACATAGCCCCACTGCATACCATTTACCCATCTGTAAACTAGAGACAGTATACCCACTTTACAGCATAGCTAAGTCAGTTAACACATGCAAAACACTTTTGTCTCTGTACACTCTAAGCATTCTTATTAACCCTCCCACAAGCCTGTGTGATTTGTATTAGTTTCCCATATTTATAAACAAGAAATAGAAGCTTCAAGAAATGGTTATCTACCCTGGTTCATGTGCATAGAAGAGGCAAAGCCAGAACTTAAACCCAGAACGCTTGACTAGAGGAAAAGGTGTCTGGAAGAATGGGGAGCCCAAGGCAGTCCCTTCTTGTGATTTTTCTTGGGAGCTCAAAACTTAGAATTCAGAGAGGCACATACTTGCAGTGCACTCAGGCATACACACACACACACACACACACACACACACACACACACACCTTTACTGATAGAGATTCAATAATGGTTGTCAGTGTGCCCTGGCCACACAGACATTCATTTCAAGTTCTGGGCTAATTGGATAGTGACAAGCCTGCAGAATAGAATCTTTATACCTTCAATTATCTTTTTCATAATACCATCTCCCAGTAATTGAGGATGGCAGTTGGCGATGGAGACAATAATGTGCTGATTTCATGGGCTAAACAGTAGGCATGCTCTGGGCCTGTTCTGTTCCGGCCTATGTTTTCCCCATTTCTTTTTTTGTTTTCTTAAATATTTTTCTTTATTATTTTGATTTTATGTATATGAGTGTATTGCCTGCATGTATGTGAGTGCGCCCGTGTCGTGCAGTGCTGTGGAGATCAGAAGAGGCTGTCGGATCCCCTGGGACTGGAGTTATGGACAGTTGTTAGCTGCCATGTGGGTGCTGAGAGTCGAACCCGCGTCCTCTGCAAGAACAACCATCTGGGCCATCTCTCGGGCCTTCTATCTGCCTGCAGCCCACAGAAGAAACAGAACCTCCACACTCAGCCAGGGTGGATGGAACCTGAAGAAGGGACTCAATGGCTGCAAAGATGCTTTTAAATACCAGTGCTCTCAGGTGATCAGGAGAAACTCAGGACTCTGAGGTACCTTTTCAATCATCAGTGTTATTTTGACATATTCAAGTGGGTTGGCTAGTCAATTTTTTTTTTTTTGAGAATTTAAATCCACATGAGTTTTACATGGCGAATTTGTTAATCATTTTATTTGATTAGCCTGAGTTCCCTGGCTGTGCTGGCTGATCAGATGCTAAACTCTCAAGTGGTGTTTTCCTCAGTTGTGCATGGGGCTGGGCATGGGGACTAAGGAGGAGTGCTGGCAGCACAGTTTTCCTGAAGTGTCAGCAGCCTTTAGCTGTCCAGGAGGAAGTGCAGGAAGCCTTTCTGGGTCACTACAAAGGATTAGAAGTGCCTCTAATGCCAGGTGACCAACAGGCCACGTAGTGCAGATAAAATAAGAAATGACTTCAGTGTGGATCCCAAGCTCACATCAAGAACTTTCTGAGAAAAAAAGCAACAATTCCTTTAATAACTACAGTTCAGAAGACCACACATCCACACTGCAACACTGACTGGAAATGGAGTCATGAGAAATGAACCACACGGTGACCCTCCCTCTGACCCAGGAGCACAGGCAAGGTCAAGGGACTCCCACTTCTCCAGGACCCTGGGGAGATGGGAGAACAGAGTAGGGGACTAGTGCTAAAAACAACCCACAGGAAAGCCTCCAGTCCCCCCCAACTATAGGGGGGGTTGTCAAACAATAGTTGGAACAGTCAGGAATAAGAGAGGTGGGACAAGAACCCCTAAAAGAACTAGGGCCATGAAGTGAAGGAAGGACGTTAGATCAGGTGTCTGGGACTGGCCTCTCATCCTCCCTACACACGTGTGTGAGTGAGCCTGTGCTATTTGTCTTGAGCCCAAGATTGCACAGCTCCCGGGACCAAGGAAGGTCACTGTGAGTCTAATTCACTCTCCTCCACCTTGAGAGTTTGTCCACATAGCCCAGCTCTGCAGCAAGAGCCTCTGCAATTTGTGTGAGATTAAAACACAGCATACCTGGATAGCTATTCCCTGTGCACTGGTTCCTCTATCCCAGCCCCTGGCCAGTGACACACCTGGTCCCCATGTTCCCTCAGACAGGTGACTGCTGCCCCCTCACTCACCTCCAACACGATCTCTTTCAATTGGAACTGCTTTTGTGCGACCTTATCTGAAGACACTGGCTCATGGTAGTAGAGGCAGAGCAAGTCATATTTCTTCAACATCTGCTTGAAGCTCTTCTCGGAAAGGCTGACCACTCTGTCCTTCCCATCATACGTGGGGAAATTCAGCCCCTCTTCCGCCCTGCAGGAGGACAGCAAATAGACCCCCACCACAAGCAGGTGAGTTCTCTTCATTTGGACAAAGTTACCTTTCTTGTTCCCCCCAAATAGTGTGAAAGAGAAAGACGCCTGGAAGGTTTGCTGAGCCCAGTAGGGAGGCGAGAGCCTGAGCTCTCCTCACCTCCTCGGGTCCCACAAACTGTGTAATCTTGGGCGCATGCACACATGCGCATAGAGTAAAACCCAGGCAGGAGCCTGGGAGGCCAAGCCCCAGATACCTTACATAGCTTGCCCAGCCCCTGTCTCATTAAGAGCTCCATTTTTAGGATGCAGTTGTTTCAGGCTAAAAATAAATCATGCAATGAATTTTAAAAAAAAAGTCAGATATGACATTGTTGAGGGATTCGCTGATGCAGTGTGGCTGTGGTGAAGGGGCGGCAGGCGGAAAGAGACTGTGTGCCTGTGGAATAGAGGCCTCAGAGAAGCTCAAGAGGAGAGGGAAAACGATGGGAGAGAGCGAGGAGGGACGGTGGTGCCAACAGAACATGGAGAGGCTGGGGCTTAGAAAATGCTGCTTTACACAACTGCATTGCTGACTTCTAGGGTAATTAAGTGGCCGGCTTAGCCTGGCTGCATGTCACGCACTGCAACACGGGGAGCAAGTGCACTCCCCACCTCTCTTTCCAGGTCTTCCTGGAAACCCAGTTCTGGCAGCACCAAGCACACAGGTCCTTGCCAACTCTGGTAAGACGGACATAGAAACATCCTTTCTTGCTAGTCCTGCACCCAAAGTACTGGAGAGGCCCCAGCCCACCCTGGGTTCCAGTTTCTAGAGCTGAGCTCTGCCAGAGACGGGAGAACCCCTGATCATTTAAAAAATCATACTTAAAAAAGTTTACCAGTCTTCTCCATCAAGAACATGCTCAGGCCTGGGATGGTGGTACATGCCTTTAATCCCAGCACTCAGAGGATGAGACAGGAGGAGCTCTGTGAGTTCTAGGTCACCCTGGTCTACATAGAGAGCTCCAAGCCAGCCAGGGCTCATAATGAGACCCTGTCTCAAAAACAAAACAAAGCAAAAACAAAACCTTTCTCTTGTTTTCTACTAGTTCGTCATATTTCTTTTCCTTTTCTCCCCCGCCCACTTCCTCTTTCTTCATTAACTCCTAACGAACCCTTTTGCCCCTTACCTTTTGATTAGCAACAGACTGATACAGAGATTAATCCAAGCTGGAACTGATCTGAGTTCAAACCCCTGCCCCGCCTTTTTAATCCCTGGTGGACTCTAGAGGATCACTTGCCCTTTCTGATTCTCAGAACCCCCTATGTAAGATGGTAACAGTTGTAACTGTGATGTTGGAAATATACAGGTGCAAGAGCCTGGCACAAAGTAAGTACTCAAAAACAGTAGCTATTGTGTCTGCTTCTTCTCACTGGAGGGGGTAGAATATCAGTTATAATCATTTGTCCGTTTCTAATACTGCTTGTCAATCTTTTCTTGTCCATTGTCTCCATGAACCCAGCAGGCAACTGGTGTGTGAGTGATTGGTGCTCACTATACAGATGAGCGGATGGGGTGCAAAGATGCGCCACGTGTCTGGGATTCAGAGTTCCCCGAGAGTCAAGGCTGCTGAAGTTGGACTCCAGGTGGCGTGACTTCTCACTCATTGCCCATACCCTTAGGTGGCTCTTCGGCAATTTCTTCTGGTCAAACAATGGCTCAGTCATGCTCTTCAGAGGAGTTGGCAATCCTTAACAGCTTAGGCAAGTTTTTATCTTCTTTTGGTCAGAAAACCAGTCACTTGCATCTTTCCAGGGGCTGGAAGCAAAAGTGAATCCCAGTGGCCTGACTGTGGTGAGGCCCTCTACTGCCACCAGAGCACTGACAACAGCCCATGTTCATGTCCAGGGAGAGAGGGCCTTGGCGAACATAGCACTGATAACCCCGACAGCAGTCTGTTCCTCCCAGGAGTGTAGTCTCTGCACTAAAGGCGGAGCTAAGAATCCTTGGCAAACCTGTAAGATCTCTGCTTTGCTGGGAAAATTTAGGGGGAGCGGGTCGTGAAACAATATGTCTTGTCTTTTTGAGGTCAGCTTATCCCCGGTTGTCTGAATCTCACTGGACTGCCTTTATTTAGAATTTGCTCTACTTTTCTCAATGTGTAACTGGCTTCTTTTCTTTTTCCTTTTCTCCCCCTACCCTCACTTTGAAGCCTTTAAAGTCAGAGTCTTTGTATTTCCCATTGACTTACAACTGGCAAAACTGCTAGGGCAGAGGGAGAATTAGTTTTTAATTGAGCTAAGCCTTCAAGTCTGGCTACTGACTGAAAGCCCTGGTTGTGGAAAGTTTCTGTCCCTATATGGGGACTCTGTGTGGGACTTGTAGGCCCATCTGGAGGACACACAGCCTCTGACACACCTGAGGAGATGAGGGTCTCTGTTAATCCACTGGTAAGTGATGGGGGGAGGGCAGATGTGTGTCTGGCCTTTAGGAAGGGGTAAGTTTTCACGGATTTCGGTTCAAGGAGCAGCCTAATGTTCCACCTGCCCTTTATTTTCCTGGTGTCTTCTCTTTGCTTTGTTGCTTACCACCTCTATGCACTTTAAAAACACGAAAGTGTAACACATTTCAAGATCAACTGATATTCTGCAAATCGGTTGTTTTAGGTTAACATTCACAGCTGCACAAACTAGTGTTTTGCATACCCTTAGTCTATGTGGACCTACTGAAGTGTATGGTTTTTATATGCAATTAATGGCCATTTTTTGGTTGGGCTGCATTTGGTTTTGAACAAGGGGTAAAAAGAACTAAACGAACCAGTATAGATAAATGGTCATTGTCACACTGTCACACAGGCCCTTGATTTCCTAACACTTTCTACTCATTCTGTAAATCAGCACACCTAGAATCCCCAGCCTCTCCCCCTCGGTTTATTTTTCCTTGAAGGTGGCAGAACAAGTTCAAGTGCATTATTCAAGTTGATCTTCACAATCATCCACTTTACAGGTAAATCGGGACTTGAAGCCATGGCCTTTCCTTTATTGGTCTATTAAGCAGATTTTTATGGAGCATCTTCTAAGCACCACTGTTTTTGGGTACAGGGGATAAATGTACTGTAAAACTGAGCTCATGAGTTTACATCCTAGAAGAATGTACGTGTGTGTGTGTGTGTGTTTGTATATACATGTGTATGTGCAACATGTCAGGTAGAGGCATAGGCTTGGAAGGACAACTGGAGAAAATTAAAAAAGAGACAGTGACAGTTGGCTAAGGGGTAGAAAGAAGCACTTGGAGGCAGAAGCAGGAGGACTGCTTCAACTTCAAGATTACCCTGGTCTACATAATGAATTCCAGGCCAGCCTGGGCTACAGAGTAAGAGTAAGATCCTGTCTCAAAAAGAGAAAATACTTTTCCTTGCCTTAGTTATAGTCATAACCTGAGCCCTGCAGCCCTAATGGCTGTAGCTTGCCTGCCTGTCCTCAGTAGGTCAATTAAAGAAATAGTAGTGAAAGGCAATTTATTCAATATGGTCATATTGGGAAGAGTAATAAATAAGGGAGTCCAGGAGTCTCCTAGTACATCTTTGGGATTCTAATCTGAGCTTTGAGTTTAAATAGAGAAAGAGCTAGGCATAACTAAGAAGCCCTGGTAAGGTGTGGCCCGCCCATCCCTGGCTCCTGTCTCTCCTGCTGAGTGATCTGGTAAGTTGTCAGAACTGTGTGAAATCTCTTCCTGGAGATAAGTTCCTCCTCTGGTTGACAGGAGGGCTTTAGCCTTCCCCTTCCCCAGCATGAGCTTCCCGGGGAAACTCCAATTTCTTGGGATCTGTTGCTTCAGAAGCCAAAGGGAGGGACACACAAATCTTTTTAGAATATCTCTTCATTCTTGCCAGATGGTTACACTGTGAAGTTAGAAGCTGGAAGAGCAGAAAGCTGAATCAGGAGAGGGGGTGAGGCTGAGAGTTGTTGAGGGGAGAAAGCCCCAGGGAGCACAGGGGCCCACCCCCCACTCTCCACCTGCAGGTTTCTCTCCAGTTTGCACACCTGCAGCACAAGTCAGTCCTCCTTAGCCCTCTTCCCCTCTCACATTTCCAAGTTGTGAAAAAGATAGTCAGACTTCAGATCCCCTATGATTCTTTTCTGCTTCTAAACTTTTAAAGTTTGTTCTGAGAGTTTCTTGAAGCACACCTGTGTTATGCTGTGCTGTGCTGTGCTGTGCCTGGTAAGTGTTTCCTGCTGAGGAGCATATTGAGGGGTGTGACTCTGGGCGAGCCCAAGCCTGCTTCTCTCCACGGTAAAGATGTCCCTATAGTGACAGCCTCCTAGGTGCCTGCCTACACAGGGCCCTTCTTTGACTAAAATACTCCACCCAGTGGACAAAGTAGAGCACAACATCTTTCCTTTTTCATTTGAATTTTTAAAATATTTTATTTATTTTTATTTTTATGTGTATGAGTGTATTGCCTGCATGTACATAAGCGCAACCATGCTGTGCAGTGCCCATGGAGGTCAGAAGAGAGTGTTGAATTCCCCTGGAACTGGAGTTACGGATGGTTGTTAGTCACCATATGGGTGCTGGGAATTGAATCTGGGACTTCTGTAAGAGCAGCCAGTGCTCTTGGCCGCTGAGCCATCTCTCCAGTCCCAGCATCTTTCTTTGTACAGTGTCCTAGCATCTATTATTCTGCTGGACCCTATTGGAGTAGCACTGGCTTCTGGCCTGGGGGAGAGAGCACAGATGATGGTGTTCAGGTCCCAGTGCCCCTGCCTTTGCCATCTAAGAACAGTTCAATACAGGTGTGGGAGAAGCCCAAGGCCTTCCTTTCCTCAGAGCTCTGAATATCAAGGGGCCCTCTGGAGCGTTTCCAACACCCCAGCATCTGGAAACTTCTGAACAGACCAAGCACAGAGACTAAACATTAGACTGACAGCAAGCCTTCAAAGCCCCACCAATTTGATCCCAGCTTTTGACAAATGCCACTTCCTTGGAGAGAAGGGGGCACCCCAGGGCTGCCATTCACTTCCTGACAGGACACACGGTACTTCTCCTTGGAAACACCTTTCCCATCGGTGTTTCTTTCCTCTTAGATAAGCCTGAATGTTATTGGATCCGGGTAGCATCTGTTCAGAGCTTTCTCATAAGCAGCTTGCACCCATAGCAGAACTCAAT